TGAACATGGGTGCACATATATCACTGTGGTATGATTCTTTTAATTCTTTGGGGAAGATACCCAGCAGGGGAATAGCTGGGTCAAATGGGACTTTAGACATTTGGACTTTTAACTGGCTGACTCTCTGGTCCAGATTCCTGTGTGGACTTTTATCTCAGGTATCCTGCACTCTGCTCTAATCTGAGTTCCAGCTTGGAAGGAGGACTGTGAACACCCACACCTCTGCACTCTGGGGCATCCTCTTTTTCCCTGGTAGCTTTTGCTGTTGGGTGGGCTGGGAATCTGCTCCTTGTGGGTCTGGCTTGGGCAGGCCGTGGTGGGACTGAGAATGCAAACAGGATGGGAAAGTCCAGCCCAGGATGGTTTGAAGATGGAAAAGTGTAGCTGGTGGGCCACAAGGCTCTTGGGTCCACTGGTGGAGGAGCCTGGCCCAGCCTGGCTATGCCCAGCTGATGGCTTCCTCTGTGCTCCTGGTGCAGCTCCTGCCAGTGGCGGGAGCACTGTGCCTGACCAGTTCAGCTCCTGTGGCCTCCCCTCCCCTGGAGCTTTCCCATCTGAGTCCTTGAGCCTGGTGTTGGTGCCCCATCCTGCCCCTGAGAGCCAGGTCACACAGTGGGCCTGATGGAAATTGCTGCAGAGGCCAAAGCCCAAGAACCCAAAGGCCAGCAGGTGTGGGGTGAGGCTGAGGGCTTCAGGGCAGTGGGCAGTGGCACAGGGTGGCTGACCTCACAAAAGGGATGCAGGTGTGGCCAGGCTGGGGCATGAGGCAGAGGGGCCCAGAGTGCAGGCCCCAGCAGGCACCTGCCTGGCAGAGTGTGAACTGAGTGTCCTGGGGATGGAGCAGTGGGGATAGGAGCTACCGCCTCAAGTCCTCCTGGCCTGGTGGGCCAGGGCCCAGCACTGGTTCCGAGGTGGGTCTGTGTGTGGGCTGTGTGGCGGGGCTGTGTGTGTCTGGGCATCACCCTAAGAAGGTCAGGGAACGCAGAGACCTTCAGGCCTGCCTTAGGGGACCCCTGAGAGCCTGCAGCAGGAGGCCAGGCAGAGAAGCAGGTGACTGTGGGGGACCTGGGCCACTCTCCAGCCCAGCTGTATTCTCTGGGGATATCGCCTGCTCAAAAGAAGCCAAGAAAATGAAGGCACTCATCCTTCTTTTGGATTCTGAGAAGATTTTTCACAAAAAGGAATTCAACCTTTTGCCAGGGCTGATGGAGGCCAAAGGGATCACAGAGGAGGCTGGGGCTGGAACCAGGGCAGAGCACCCAGAGGTGCTTATGGAGTAGCAGCCCCTGCATGGTGGGAGGAGCATCCCAGTCCTATGAGTGTCCAAACAGGAACGCTGTATATACTATGGTTTTCCTGTACACAGAGACTCGGGATTTTATTTATAAAATAATAACTAACAATAAAATAGAACAATCATTACAATCTACTCTAATGAAATTATTCAAAAGTTATGAATTGTTTCTGAATTTTCTACTTGGTATTTTTAGACCACGGTTGGCTCTGGTTAAACTTGTGGGTACGGAGACCGTGGGGGTGCGGCAGCTGTCGGGGCCTCCAGGGCAGAGCCTCTGCTCCTTGGAGAGGATGGGGCCAGAGAGAGGCTCTGCAGAGGCAACTGAGTGGTGCATCTCTTGTGTTTTCCACTGGCAGGAGAGCAGGCGCCCCTGGCTGTGCCTCGAGTTCTCATCCCGCTCAGCCTCATTCTGCTTTCCACTCGCCTCGCTTATGTCCTGCTGGTGTCTCTTAAGTCACTCATGTGCTCACTGTCTGTGCTTAACTCATGCTAATTGCTTTGGCCTTGCATATGACCCACATCCAGGCTCATCTTCAGCACTAAAGCAGGACGTTCTCAGGGCTAAGGCACCCTCCCCTTCTCCACTGGGATCCATGGTGAGGGTGTGTGAGATGGTAGGCACAGCTCTTCCATGCATCAGTGGGAGGCACCTGCTCTCACACTTGAGGGCATTGGGCCCTTCATGAAGGGTGGAGACATCACCCCTAACTGATCACCTCCTGGAGGGCCACCTCTTACACTGTTACAGTGGCAGTTAAATGTCCACATGGGTCTTGGAGGAGATGTGTGTTAAGGACATCAAGTGTCTTTCCCTTTTGTGGCACATCCACCCCTCCTCCATGTATCCAGCACCTGGATGCCCCTGGAGTGCTGTCTAGGCATGTGTGAGTGAGTTGCTGGCCAGTGGTGATTGGCTCAGTTTCCATCCTCTCTGCACTGGAGTCATGGGTGGGGCTGAAGGTACCATGTGATCATCTGTTGGTTGGTTGCCCAGGCAATCAGCCCCCAACCTTGAGGTTACCTAGGGGCATTCCAGAAGCCACACCATTAACTGAAATGCAATTGTGGCCAAAAGGGCTTGCTATGGATAATAAATGTGTTACCAACACACCAGTCAGGAAATCTCCAGGCTTACTTGCTGTGTGCCACAGCTGGGGGTGAAGACCAAGTACATATATATTATTATATCCCAACCCCTGGCTCCACTAACCAAGGTACCTTCTTCTGAACCCACAGCACTACCTACGAGGGCTGAGTGAGGGTGTCCACTCCTTCAGAGGCAAAGGACCCCCACCCTGGAAGGACAGAGCTTGTGGCCTGTACCCACAGCTGAGGACCCATGGCCAGACTCTGCCAGGCCCTGCTGCTCCTCACGATCACTGTGACCCTTGAGTCCAGCACGGTGCAAGCCTGGGGTTCCCCGAAGGTGGTGCGGCCATTCCAGGACATCTCCTCATCCTACGTGTATGTGCAGCAGGCGGTCTGGTATGCCAAGAAGGAGTACAACAAGGCCAACAAAGACAAGTACAGCTTCCGTGTGGTAGAGATTCTCAAGTCCCAGGAGCAGGTGGGCTCCTTGTCTTTCCCTCTCTTTCCTGGGCGGAGCAGGATCCATATTCATGGGTGGCTATTGCCACTAGGAATGGAAAACAGCCATGGGATACCATCAGCCAAACTGTACTGATTGTATTTTAGAGGGTTTGGGAAGAAAATTAATTATATTTCATTCATTATTATTCTGAGGCAAAGATGAAACAAAATATCCATTAAAATAATTTCAAATTGGTAGGGTCACATCAAGAACATTAAGATGCGGAGGTCAGGGTCCAGGGGGCAGCTTGAAGTGGTCGTGTGGGGGGCCAGCTGTGCACCTTGGTGTGGGTGATGACACTGAACAACAAGGACACTCATCCAGCTGCCTCTGCAGTGGGAGCCAGGGAGCCAGAAGGATTTGACAGAGAGCCAGCCCAGTGGCATGAAGGGCATGGTTGTATCTGCAGCCATCAGATTGTCAGTGAGACCTGCATCACCAGGCTAGTGATTCTGTGCTCATTGCCATCCCCTGCCAGTTAATGATGGGGACATGTGCTGGGAAAGGCCTCACTGATACTTACCTGAGCTAGTGGCAAATGCCAGTCAACCCCCATCTGGCACACTGCCTCCCAGGGAACATTTTCATAAGTAGGTGCCCTTATAACCATCATAGAGTACCACGTACTGTGCGTGGCTGTCTGAGCTGGGCTCATGAACACCAGCACTGCATCGCCAGTGTCAAGACCCTGCCAGGCTGGGAAATCTCTGGGTGACAGAAAGTTTTCATCCCTATTGTGAGCCTAGTGGCTGCTTTTGTAAATGTGATCTGTTACCGTGGGCCGAGACGGTAGTTATGGATGTCAGGGCATCTGCTCAGTTCCTCTCCCAAGGCATCTGGCACCAGCACCGGGCCAGTCAGTGGCAGGACCCCACCTGCATGCTGTGACTCAGCACAGAACACACACCGGCTGCAACCACCCACAGCCACAGCATGAAGCATCCTACGCTTAGAAATGATCAGTGTCACGAAAGACAGGGAAAACAGCTGGGAACCTGTTCTCCATCAAGGAGGATTAAGGAAGGTGACAACCAGACAGAGTGTGGTCCCAGGTTGCCTCCTGGATTTAAAGGAAAGAACCAGAAAGGATGTTGTTAGAACCCTTGGGGAGGTGCGCATAGACCGTGTGATAGGAGAGAGACTTGTGGACTGTTAGTTCTGAGAGACGATTGTGCCCTTGTGAGGTAGGAGCCCAAGGCCAAGGTAGGAAGCAGAAGTTAGGTCAGCCAGGTAGGACCTGGAGGAAGGAGGACAGCAGAGGTGGACAGGGCTGGTGACCTCCCTGTGGGCAATGCCCAGGCCCACGCCCGTCAGCATCACAGCTTTCTCTAATCTTGGACTTGGAAAGAGTTCTACTCCTGTGTTATTTTGGTTTGGTTGTATCTTTCCACACTATGTTTGTGAACTTCACATTTTTGGTTGCATACAGCAATGGTGTGGCACCTCCCCAACAGGTGTTTTGTATTTTAAAAAAGATGTTATTGTATGTATTTAAGGTGTATACTGTGATGTTTTTAAATAAATATGGTGAAGCGATTGCTATTCTAAGGCAAATTAGCACATCCGTGATCTGTTATTCCTTTGCATATGTTTTGTTAGATCACCCAAAATCTACTCTTTTAGCAAAACTCCCAAATAAGAACAGTATTTATTAATTCTAACCCTGATGTTGTATATTTGGTCCCTTGACTTGTTCATTCTGCAAATCTAGTTTTTATCATTTGACTTACATCTCCCCCGACCTTGCTCCTCATGTTCGGTGAAGTAAACCGGGCTTAGAAAGAAAAATATTGCCTGATCTCACTTGTGTGTGGATGCACCCCACTTCATTCTTTATTTCTCAAGTTCCTTGCTTTCCCAGGGGACGTTCTCTGTGGAGTAGTTTCCTTGCTTTATTCCGGGGACAGTTGCCATCACATTAAATTGACTATCATAAGGGAGCAGGAATAGGGATAGGTGTCAAGGTAAGAATCCCCAATGATTTGGAAACGTCTGGTGGAGAAACATAAAGGAGAGGGCAGCCAGGGAGATGGCCCTGTCCCCAGAAGCTGATGATTGTTCACTCAGCAGAGATGTCCTTTAGGATATTTCATCCTCCAATTCTTCGCTGGCAGGTCACAGACAGTTTGGAGTACTATGTTGAAGCCAAAATCACCCGAACAATGTGCTTGAAAACTGCAGGAGAAAATGAACACTGGTTATTTCAAAAGAATCTCAAAATAAAAAGGTGAGGGCCTGAGGTGCGGAGAGCAGCCAGCGGGGATAGGTCTGAGGTCAAACCTGTGTTAGTTTCTTGTTTCCTCTCCACCCATATTCTGGTTGCATCCAGGCTGTAGATAGCCAGGGTTAAGATTTAGAGCACTGTTTATATTATCTACGGTTGGTACCCATCTCCCCCACCCCACCAACCCACACGTGCACACGCACACAACACCCACACACATGCACACAGGCCTAAAGCAAAACCAGTTCAAAACCTGGCAAAAGGAACTTCTGGTTTTGCTTTTTCTTTTTTCATTTTTCTTTCATACAAGCTAATTCTTCATTTTGCCTGTTTTAGGAGGTTTTTTGCATCTTTATTGTTAGATCCAAGCCATGGAAATTTGAGCTATCCATGCTGAAGAAGCAGTGCAAAGATGCCTAGCGGTCTCCGGGCATGCTCCGTGCACACTTCCACTGCGGAGAAGTAAAGAGCCTTCAAGACACCAGCACCGTGGTCACCCAACTGACTCCACTATCTGGCTCTGTTGCGTCTCTGAATGCTCTGGGGCCTGGCGTAGAGGGTGGGCAGCCCTGGCGAGTGGTGCCATCTCCCGGCAGGGCAGCCTGTGCCCACATGCACCCCGCCCTGTGGGGCACAGTGAGTGCTGTCTGTAGGGTCCAGGGGTTTTTTTGACTCCATGTGTCCAGCCCAGGTTTCCACAGACATCACCTTCCAGGACTCCCAGAAAGGTACAACCCATGGCTCCAAAACAGTGGGATTTTCCAGTGCTGAGCATGGGAGCTAGGGCCTTCCACATGCGACGGCATTGCTCACCACTGAGTTGCACTCCCAGCCCAGAAGCAGTGGTTCCAAACCTCAGATCTGATCAGAGATACAGAGGGGCCTTTCAGAGGTTTGAGTTTATTTTGAGTTAAGGTAGAAAAAGTGCAAGGGTAATGGTGCTTAGAGAGCAGCCTGTGTGTGTGTGTGTGTGTGTGTGTGTGTGTGTGTGTGTATGCGCGTGGAGGTTGGCTGTGTGTGTGAATATGTATGTACAGGCCTGCTACATGTGCCTGAGCATGTGTATACATGCCAGCTGTGTGTGGTAAGCATGTGTACAGGCAGGCTGCATGTACATGAGTGTGTGTGTACAGGCCAGCGGTGTATGTATGAGCATGTATACAGGCCTGTTTGTCTGAGACGGGAGTCATGCCCAGTCCTCCCATATTTCCTGTTCTGGCTGGAGGCATGTGGTTGGCTGAGCAGGTCCATTTGCTGGTACCAGGGAGAAGTCACCTGGGACTCATCCCCAAATGGAGCACCCCAGGGCAGGGAGACCTCAGTGTTTCCCTGTCCTCTAGATGATGGAATATGGCCCCATGGGATGCACAGAATCCACACACGTGGAGAAAACCCTGACTCTGGCTGGAGCCACACAGGTGGCAGGTTGCCCTTGAGTCATGGCTTGGGGTGAGATTAATGCCCAGGCCGTCCTGTCAGGGCTGTAGTCGTGGCCCAAGGGCCAGCCCAGCCACTGCTTGCTGTGTGGTGGTATGGCTGGGATATAGCCAGTTTTCCTGACATACAATGTCTACAACCACGATCAGCACAGGTCAAAGTTGGTGAGGTGAGGCAGACACTAAAGCCTTGGCCTTTGAATCTGCACAGAAAATCCACAGGGATTGCAGGTATGGGAGATGGGGTTTCAGGGATCCTAGTAACCAGTGCAGTGGGTCCCCTAGGGGTAATGGAGTCCCTACCTGTACTGTGGGGTCTGCAGTCCTCTCCGGACTCACTTTGCACAGCAGGTGTTCAGAAGGTCATCGTCACCATGTCTTTGCCCCGTGGGCCATCTATAGGGCCCTGGGGTGACAGGTGCTCAGGGGCACTTTGGCTGTGTCCCTAGAGGTGGCTGAGGAGACAAGGAGGGGAGGACCCCTCTTCAGAGTGCCCAAGAGGGGTCCACCTCCCGGAGCCCCCGACAAGACACAGACAGTCTCTATGAGCAAACTTTAATGAGTCCTCTGCTATGACAGTGGACAAGGAGGAATTTTAAACGCGAGAACAGGAGCCTGCACTTTTGGAAAAAGAGGGAAACAGAAATCTTGGAGCAGCTAGGTCCCGAGGAGCCACATGGGAAGTGCTGGTGTCCCCAGAAGTGAATGGTGAGGCCAGGCTTGGAGGTATCAGTGGGGGCCCTCAGAGCAGTTCTTGTTCAAGAGTTGGAACTCTGTGGTCCAGGGCAGGGTGCTCACGTTGAAGGTGCAGGTGACGATCTGGGAGGTGGCAGAGGGGACAGTGGGTACTCATGGCTCACAGGAGCACAGTGTGCACCTCCATCTCATTGTCCTAACCCTAACACCACCCCTGCCCCTGGGTGCTTTTTACTGCACCCCCAGGAGAAGCCCCAGTCTGTTCCACTCCCGAGATGGGCACACTGAGGCTGAGGTCAGGCCAGGCCCTGCCAGGCTCCTCTCCTGAGGGCAGGACCTGTGGGCATGAGGACCACACAGGCCATTCTCTGCTCCTCCCCAGACCCCAGGGCCCAGGATCACAAATGTGTGCAGGCTGCGTGTCCTACAGAGAGACTGCAGTGTGGCATGGGCAGAACCAGAGCAGAGATTGCGGAAGCCTTGCACCCAGCCTGCTGTCTGGCAGGTCCTCAGTTGCAGGCTTATCTTCCGCCCACCCCACCCCCACCTCAGCACCCACAGCTGGGAGAGCAGGAAGCCAGAACCCTATCTTACATTGCTGGGTTCGGGGCTCTCCTGGAAGCGGCAGTTGTCGAGGTCATCCTGGAACTTCTTGCATTTGGTTCTGCCCAGCTGCAGCGTCATGAAGAATGCCATGTTCACAGTCTGGTGGGGATGGGAAGAGGAAAACCAGACTCACATGGTGCTGCTGTGTGGACTGACAGTGCAGTTGTGCTCGAGTAGGGACAAATCTGAACTCTGCTTCTGTGGGAGCTCCCCAGGGGGGCCTGGATCAGCTCACGGGAGGTGACAGCCAGGGGACCTTCTCCAGGCAGGGGTGATGAGCAGAGGGCAGTGGCTTGGTGAGGCCTGGGAATTCACAGCAGAAACACAGGCTGTGAATGCACCCCCAGCTTGGGTCCACCTTGGTGGAACCCCAGGCTTCCCCGGTAGGCTCTGAGCCCACAGCTGGATTCCCAGGGACAGCAGCACATGCCTGACATCTGTCCACGTGTGCACAGAAGGACTCAGCCCTGAGAGCTGGAGCAGCATCTAGACAGGTCAGTGCAGTCACCTGACCTACAGTAAGAGAAATGCCCCGCCGCCACACCCACTCCACCACAGCTGCTCCAGGACATTTCAGGGTTAAGAAGATGGGCAGAAGGAGTGTACAACGTTAGTTCAGGGACAGGGGAACAGGGCAGAGGGGTTGTGCCCTGAGTGGCAATTGGGGCCGATAGCACCGCCGCTTGTCCTCTTCCTCAGTGCCCTTGGTGCCTCCCATGCATGCTGTTTTTCTAAGAATCCCCATCACCTTATTTCTTTGAAACCCTTCTCAGTGTGCCACTGTGGACACATGCTGTTGGTTCTTTGTCACTCTCTGGCTTCACATCCTTCGTTCTATTCATTTTTGGGTCATTTTCAATCAACTTATGTCATAAAAATTATGCAGATTGAACACTACGTACAGTATGTGGCATTCTAAAATATGTAAATATTTCATAGAAACTAGACTGTCAGCTGCATGGAGCCATGCACGGATGACTGTTGATGATCAAGGCCCTGGGGTAGGAGCACCTGGAGTGTCCCTTGCCGAGCTCGGTGCAGGGGACAGGGATGACGCAGTGTTCTCTCGCCTGCTCCCTCCGGACATTCAGGAGGTGCTCCACCCGGTAGGCATACTCGTCTTTGTGCTCCTGGTTGAATGTGTGCTAGGCGAACTCCATGGTGGGGGGGAAATAGAGTGCCACCTCATTCCAGTCATCCTCCTGCTCCTGCTGGAAATACCAGGCTCCAGTCCCCAGGAGCCAGATGCCCCAGAGAAGCAGCAGGGCAGCCCAGGCCAGCACCCTCCTCCCAGGGGGACGCACCATGGTGTCCTTGCCTTTCCCGGCAGCTCCTCCAAATCTGCAGGCTCAGGGCCAGCCCACAATCTCTTCTGCTCGGGCACGAGCTCCTCCCTGGCCTCTCTGTGTTACACTGTGTCTCTTCCCACCTGAACTCTCTCAGCCAAAGCTGCTCACTCACCACCTGGGATGGGAGGGGGATGAGTCGCCCCCCAAGCAGGGAAGGCTGCAGAGAGAGGACCAGGGTGGGGACCCAGGGTGCCCAACCTGAGGCGGAGCCCAGTCCCTCCCTGGTATCTGCTGCCTCCTGACTGGGGAGTAGCTGGGAGGAATGTGCACCCCGAGAGACCAGCTCCCCAAGGCCTGCAGCTGCCTGTGGACCAGCTCCTGGTTAGTTCAGACCCCAGGCTGGAGTCAGGCAGCGGCCTCCACAGCCACCTCCAGAGGGGCCACTGTGTCCCCAGAACAGGCAGGGAGGCACTGTGGCTCCAGCAGAGTGTGAAAGACAATTCCAGTTCTTTTAAGACCTAACATCCAATTTTGGGAGAATGTGTTGCATAAAAATAAAAGTTGGATGGAGAGGGCTGGGGATTTAGCTCAGTGGTTTCACCGCCTGCTGCGCAAGCTCAAGGACTCGAGTTCGATCCCTGGTATCCAAAAAAAAAAAAAGTTGGATGGAGAGATCTAAACTCTATTGTATGTGACAAATTATTTATTTGTATGAATACATAAAACACGAAGTCTTGTAATTTGTTTTGAATTTCAAATACATTTTATGTTTTATTTCAGAATTGTTTTACTTTATTAGTACACATGTGTAGGACATTTCTTTTACATTCTTTGGATTTTTTTTTTTTCTTTGAGACAGGTCTTGCTGTGTAGTTCAGGCTGGCCTTGAACTTATGGCAGTCCTTTTGCCTCAGGCTCCTCAGTGCTGGAATTACAGGCCTGCACCACCATGCCCTTCTTTTACATTCTTTGTTGCACAAGCCTTTGAATCACCCTCGGGATGGTCACAGCTTTGACTTGGCTGTTGCTCTCTGCTGTCCCCACCAGCGATGCCAGCTTAGGGTCCCCTGAGGTCTTTCATGAGTGTGTGTCCAGCCCTGGGCACACCATGCCACCCACACTCCCTGGCACATGTAGGAGCTTTTCAAAGCCCTACCCTCTCAGCACCCCTCCTCAGGCTTCCTCTGTGGACTTGGGGCATCTATATCTGCCCCACCTGACACCTCCGATGGACCAGGGCATTGCCGCAGGCCTCTGGGCTTTGCTGACCAAAGCCAGCTGTCCAGCCTGGCCTCAGTAAGATTTGGGGATCTCACAGGGCCTGAATAGCCACCCTTCTCTAAGGACGAGGTCCATGTGCTCTAATGGTCCCAGTGGCCACACAGTGGTGCAGGATTCTGTGTTTTCAGCCACAGAGTCCGTGAGCGCAGAGGCAGAACACTGAGACACCACTGAGTGTCCTGGAGACCTCAGCTGTTTCCCTTTGTTGACCTTTGGCCACTCACCTTCACCCTTTGACTCTCATGTTTCTTCGGCAGGATGGACTTCTGCAACCCGATACCTCATTCCTCCAGTGTCCCTTCCTCAAGTCACTTTATTTTTCACAGTAATCCTTGACTTTTTCCTCAAGGAAATTATTTGCTTCAAATAATGTTTTTGATAGAGACCTGGATTTTTAACACAACAAAGCTGAAGAAATGTAACAACAAGCAATCAATGTTTCTGAGTGACAAAGGATGGCTTCAATAGCGCTTGGTCTAAAAGCCAAGGACGCACCTGTGGCCGCATCCATTTGCACCATCACCTCTGCTGTCATCCCTTTATTCTACGGATCAGTTCTCATGGTCACTTCCCAACAGGTTGGACAAAGGTGGGCACCAGGGTACGGGTCTCCATCTTCCTGCCATCTCCCCACTAGACTTGGCGTCCAGGAGGTGACAGAGTTGTTGGGAAAATGCCAATTTGGACCATTTTTCTCTCTTACCACACAGAATGAACTATTGTTGTGCTCCAGAAGAAGGAACAAAGCAATGTGACAGTTCTCTTCCTGAACAATGGGGCTCCTCACTGCTGGGCAGGGTGGTGAGAGGATGAGTGGGGCTGTGCCTGTCTCAGCTGCTGGGCAGAACGAGATGCAGAAAGGAGCCTGATCTCACAGGTGTCCGGGGGACGAGGCTGTACAGTAAATAATGTGACACTCTCATGGACCAGGGGCTGCCGAGACCTTGACTGAATCTCCAAGACTGGGCTTGGGGCGCTGTTCCTGGGAAAAAGCAGAAAGTAACAATGTTGGTGTTTGTGGCCCACACTCTCCCTTCCCAGGCATCCCTGTGCCTTGGTGTCTTAGAAGCAGCCACAGATCCTGCTTATTCCAATGAACTGCACTGGGCTGGAGACACCTCTGCCCCCCCCCCCACCGCCCCAGCCCAGCTGGAAACGGTGAACCAGAGGGCGTGACCTATGTAGGTGCAGAAGGTCTTCCAGGAATGTATCACAGAGGAATAAATAACAGGATGTCTACACTGGCATCCATTTATCTGTCCATCTACCTTTTATTCTTGTGCAACACATTCTCCAAAAATTGGGAGCAAATTAATGGCATAAAAGAACCTGAATTGTCTTTCATACTCCATGGGTCAGAATCCAGGTGGATCAGCTGGGAACCCCCTGCTCAGGTCCCTTGTGAGCCTGGGGTGAGAGACTGGGCTTTGCCTCTAAGAAGGGACACAACAAGGACATTGTGGGCACATTGTAAAACCAGTGCACTCAGGAACACATGATGAAATAGATCTTATACAAGATGTTATAAATTCTACTTGTGACTCTTTTGTTTGGTTGTTTTTGTTTTTTGAGGCAGGGTCTCCCTTTGTAGTTCAGGCTGGCCCTGAACTCACTATGTAGCCCAGGCTGGCCTTGAACTCAGTGATCCTCCTGGCTCAGCCTCCTGAGTGCGTGGATGACAGGCGTGTGCCACCATGCCCGGCTAAATGTTATAAATTCTGATGTAGTCGCGAGACCCTCATGAGAACTGAGAAGAGAAAGGAAGAAATGGAAGAGACAGGAAAAACAACATTGGTGATTATCTTAGGCACTTTCCTTGTCACTGAGACACAATACCTGACACTCTCAACTTGAAGGAGGAGAGGTTTATTTTGGCTCATGGTTTTTCCAGGTTATAGTCCATGGTTGGCCAGCTCCAAGGTAGAAACAGCATGGTGGAAGGGCCTGGTGTAGGAGTGCTACTCAGGTCATGGCAGTCAGGAAGCAGAGCAAGGAGGGAGGAGCCGGAAGGAGATACACCCTTCCAGGTCACACCTCTAGTGGTCCCTCCACTTCTTCCAACCAGACTCTGCCTCCTGAGGTCAGCTATAGCACCCCATAATCCATCCACCTTCCAAAAGTCCTGCGTCTGAACACAAGAGGTCGTAGGGTAAGCAAGATACAAACCACTGCAGTGACTGAGAAGCAAGTACAGCAGGGACAGTTGAGGGAGGGTCAGGAAAGCGAACTAGACAAGGAGGTGGCGAGGAGCACAGCAAGCTCTGGGGCCTCGAAGGTGGCCCTGGGTGTCAGGGGAACTCTGCCTGCAGAGAGAGAACCCAGGCCCAGGGCTGTGTCACCACTGAGGAACCTCGGGAGCCCAGAGGGAGGGTGTGGGGCCTGAGGTGGGATGGGTAAGCCTGTGTGCAGCATTTGGGGTCCCAGAGGCTGGTGGGTTGTAGACATGAATCATAGCCTACAAGAGGGACGGTGACTGTGTGGAAGGTAGCTGGCAACCTGACTCAGTGACAGAGCATGGAGAAGCAGCTGGTGATGGGCCAGGAGTTGGGCTTAGGCTGTGAGGAGGAGGTGGGAGTGTGGATGTCTGTCCTTCTCTTTGAATGGGGTGACTCTGACACACTCAATGCCTTGATGGTGGTTTGAGCTCTGAGCTGAGAGGGGCTCGTGATACCAGGGACCAGTGGGTGGGCCCAGCTACCTCCCCCCGGAATCTCCAGGATCTCCCCAGTTAGTCTCTGGAGGGGTTTAGCTTCCTCTGGGTCCCCCATGTGCTCTGCCTTTCTCCTGGATTGAGGATGTATTTTCCGACATCCAGCTCAGCTGCCCTGTGTGTCCCATCTTCAGAAGGATGGAGGTGCACACAGATTCCTGGGTTTTGCCTCATTCCTGTGAGATCTCCCTACACCTCAGGTAGGACAGATGAAGCTGTGTAAGGAGCAAGCCCTGCTCAGCTGCCAGCCAGCAAGGCTGATTGATGCCCTTGAGTCCAGCCAGCCAGGTAGCTCTCCCTGCCATGCCAGCTGCTCTGTGGGTATGGAGGCCTTCCTTCCTCTACAAATGGTCCCAGGGTTCCTTTACCCCAGGTTCCTGCTAGAAGAGACAGGGAGAGAGCACAGAGCCCCTGCCCTGCTGTCACCATCCTGGGCTTTCAAAGTTACCATTCCACCCACAGTGCCCTAGCTGGAATGCAGCCACATGATCCCAGCCCAGTTGCATGAACAGAGACTAGGGTGGAGCCAGACTGCCATTCTGTCCTCACTGGAGGTGCCAGCCAGGAGGCCAGAGCAGGGGCTGAGACACCTTCCTTCTCTTTACCATCAGGCAAGTTGTTCTTACTCCTCCCCTGAGGCAGTGTGCACCCTAGAAACCATTCTCCTGTCGCCCCTGGTGCCCTTCAGGCCTCTGAGCCCTCACCAGGGTGACTCTGTTTTGCACTGGCCACTGTTTAGCTGTCCATGGCCCCCAGAACTGAGCCTCTGGGCCTGCTGTGGCACAAGGACACAGCTACCATGCTAGATAGTGTTGAGACTGGTGCAGCAGCCAATGAGGCAGAGCTGGGAGTGGGGCACTCACATTTCCCAAGCCCCCTTCTTGCTTTTGCTCCTGCATTTGCTATTTTAATTACATCCCACAAAAACAGTAGCTTAGCAAAGAGGGGCGGTGCTGCAGCCTGTGAGTCATCCACTACCCTGTAAGAAAAACTCATTCCTTCACGGCAGGACTGGCCCAGTCCTCCTTTGCGATGCAGCCCCTCTCAGTTGGAAGTGACCATCTCTTCCGAGTCTCCCTGGACACCCACAGAACAGCTTCAGGACAAGCTGTCTCCTGCTGTGGTTCTGTCTGTGCCAGCCCTGTGAGAGCTTCAGAACCTGGGCTATTCTGAGGGAGGTGCCGGGGCTGACATGATTCTCTTCCTGGGAGAGGTCACAAATGCAGACCCCTGGCCCTGCCCACCTCACCTGGCCTCTAACATCCTGGAGACTCTTGTCTCTCTGGAGTTTATCAGAGCAGCAGAGAGAGGCTGAAGATGAGTTCATGGGGGACAAGTGTAAGTCTGAAGTTGGGAGACATACAGGATGCCAGTCACCCTGTCCTTCCCAATGACAGTGGGTGGCCCTTGGCCCTGACCTCTCCACCCTTCAAGGTGTGATGTTCTGCTCATAGGCCCTACTGGTGCTGCCTGAGTGAGTCCTGTGCTCACTGTGGGAGGTGTAGGAGCTGGAGGGGACCTGGCAGTCTGGTGCTTTCCAGGCGTTGGGCACAGGGCAACCGAGAGGGTCTCTTCATACCAGAGATTGGCAGCTATAGCCCAGGCCCAACCAGCCGATGCCCACTGGCACCAGAAAGTCCTAGTGGGGTACAGGAACTAGCACTTCTCCACAGGGTCTGTGGAACTTGTGAGGTGGTTGAAAAAGAGGGCATCCACTTCCCAGGGGAGAACACCTACGGTCTGCCTAATAGAAAGACTGTGCTGACCGGTCTGGGGGATTCAGGCCAGGGCTATGCAGTCTCTGGATTAACTGTGCACCTCAGATATTGACTGTGTGTCCTGGGCTCCTTCTGCCAAGGGAGGGAGACCCAAGGCTAGGCTATGCTGGGCACTGGTGCCAGGCCCACTCCGGAGAGCGAGGCCACCAGACTGGGAGGATGGGAAAGTGGTGCATACCAGCTGCAATAGCAGCGGCCTCCTGGAAGACACTGGGCCTGTCTTTCTTGTGCACCCTGGATGCACCCTGGATGGGGGACAGGCATGATGAAGTAAGGAAGAAATACATTGTCAGTACATAGAGGAAAAATCTGGGGAGGAGGAAGGGAATTTAGTTTCAAAAGATTAATATGTTACTTCCATTAGAAAAATGCAATATATCCATCCCCAGTACAAAACAAAGAAAGAAAGAAAATGTGATACAGGGTGGGGGATGTAGCTCAGCAGCACCGTGCCTACCTTGCAAGTGTAAGGTCCTGAGTTCGATCCCCAGTACTGGAAAAAAAAAGAAAAAAGAGAAAATGTAATGCTTTTTTTTTCATTTTGGATTGAATTAATTCCTTGAGATTGGTACAAATTATACCTGTGTCTTGGACAAATACATATATGTACATACATATATATTTGCTGTTATCTTACCCTGGTTAAAGACGCATGCTATATTTGCAGCATAACATGCTCTGTTGAGTTCCCTATTAACTTATTTTGTGTACTACAGATTCTCTGTTGATAAACTCTACTGCTCAGATGGGAAAGGTACTTTGGCAGTTGCAAGTCGGTTACGGTCTATAATATTATTGAAATAGAATCATGAATGCAAACATCATCTGCTGCAATCCTTTCTTTGGAAAAGTCTTGGATCAGTGTCATCCAAGTTCTGGTGCCACAGTGAAGCCTTTGGTCTTGATTTTGCCCTGCAGGGGCTTCTCTCTGGGGTCTGCAGCGAGGTGCTATAGAGGTCAAGTTCTCATGCGCCTGGCCTGGTAAATGAAGCTGTCAGCTTCATTGATAACACAATCAGTGGTGCTGCAGACAGGAAAACGTGGTGTGCTCGGGATGCCTATCACTGGGCACAGATGTGGAAGTGGCCCTGGGCTCCCTTCCAGGCACACCACCTCCTCTCTCTCTCCTTGAAGCTGACTCTTACTAGTGTTGCTATGCTCCTGCCTCACCTCCATGCACCTCAGACACTGTACAACCTTGTCACCTGGAAGAGCATCCACAGCCCCAGACATTTGCAGTGGTACCAAGTTCAGCTCCTATCTGTTCCTCTGCCCTTGGGCAGAAATTATTCACTGTGGAAGACTGGCTATTTTTATTGAGTGAGTCTCGGGCTCTATAAAGAACAATCTCTCCATTGTGAGCCTTAGTTCTCTGCAACTGGACAGAGAGATGGGAGGGCCACGTTCTATGAACAGCAAGATTTCATCAGTTAGGATCCTGTTCCGAGTGACAGAAAACCATGCACAGTCTGTCTTAAGCAACAGAGGAAATGTATTGACTCGAATATCTTAAAATAATCTAGGGCAGCCCAGCTGTACATCTGGCTGGTTTCCCGGGCTCCAGCAGTGTTACCGAGGAGCAGTGTCTCAATCTCACTCTCTTCGAGTCAACTCCGATCATTGCAAGGTGGCTGCCTCAGATTATGTCCTTCTTGGTTCATGGCCAGAGGAGAAAAAAGAGACTTCATTGTGTGTGCACTGGGTTATCAGGGCCTGTCCCAGACAGCTTCATCGTCAGGCAGGCACATAGACACAGACAAAGACTCACACTCTCTCACACTCCCACACACACACACACACACACACACACACACACACACAGAGGCAGAGGCTCCCCATGTCCTGAGAGAGGTGAAGTGACAGTCCTGCCAAGAGCTGAGAAGTGCCTAAGGGGGTTTTTTCCTACTTCAAAGAGCAAGTTGGCCTGGCACCATTTGTGTCATGGATGCTGAGAGGAGACGTGAGAGTCTGGGATCAGACTGCCCCAGTGGCCCCCAAGAGAGTGGCCCTCAAGGAGGTGCTAGAAGGACTCACAGGAGGAGGATGGAGTTGGACTCACAGCTATGATTTATTTTGGTGAAAGAGACAAAGTGAAATCGGCAAAGGGAGGAGGCGCCTGGAATGAGGTGTCGGGGGCAGCACACATTTCCCAGAGTCGTCACGCCACAAAGGCAGGCAGGACACACTTAATTCCTCCAGCAGTGAGCTGTGACAGCACTGTGAGTTGCGGCCATCCAGGAAGCTCGTGAGGGCCTCAGAGCCGAGTGTTCTCACCGGGGTCCTGATCGTGCAAGCACCTGTCACGTGTCCAGTCTCCCAAGAGAAAACAGGAGTCCCAGTCTGGACACTTTAGGCACAGTGAGCCATTATTATCAATTTGGGAGATGATGGAAACCTCCCCAAATTCCAAGTCCGCATTGCCAAACAGGAGTGGACCTTTTTGGCAGACGTTTCTGAGGATGCCAGCCAGACCTGCCACCTGAGCTCCTGTCTGCACAACAAACTCTCTCCAAGCATTCACTGCAAGCCAGCTTATGGTTGTCATTTTCAAATCATTTGGCCATATTCCTCGAGCCCCAGGACTGAAAGCATGGGGGATTAGGTAGATGCTGTCACACATTGGGATCTTAGGAAGTGACTGGATGACAAGAGCTCTAAGCATAATTTGAGACGTTATTGGGAGCTGATGGAAACAGGAAGTAGGCCTACTCAGAGGGAGTGGATCATAGGGGCCTTGAGCTTGGGGACTGTACCTGGTCCCTAGCTCCTTCCCCTTGGGCTCTTTCTCTGTTCCTCTGCTTCCTGGCTTGTAGGAAGTGAGCAACTTTACTCTACCACATCCTTCCGCCATGATGTTCTGCCTCACCTCAGGTCCACAGCAAGGGAGCCACCCAACCATGGATTGAAATGTCTGAAACCATGAGCCAAAATAAACTTCTCATCCTCCATTTGGTTACAGCAGTGAAAAGCAAACACACCAGAATCCCTGTTATAATGGGCCACAAGCAGACCTGATAAAAAAGGGGTCATCTTTACTATGCTGGACAGGTTTGCTAACAAACCTCCCTCTGCTCTCGAGGGAGGTACTAGCACCATCTTCCAAGGCTGTTGGGCACTAATACCCTGACAAGATGGTCCAGGACCAAGTGCCAGGTGCTGTGCTCAGAAGATAAATGGAAATGAAAGACACCCATGGAAAACCATCTTCCAGCAAGATCATCTGGCAAAAGTCATGAATATTGCTGGAAGAAGAAGGAGGGATTGTTGCAGGGAGGCAAATAATACATTTTTATTGAAGTGGGAAAAAATTTTACACAAGAATAATAACAGCACATATTTATTAAATGATTACTACTAAAGCACTGTTCTAATGTCTTGTATGCCTTAACTCAGTCCTTTCTAAGTGACAGACTCTAATACATAATAGATTTTTTTTTTAGACGAATTCAAACCAAAGACAATTGTCAACAAAGCCACTGGGTACAAAATGATGAAAAATGCTGTTATTAGCTACATATGTTTCCTTCCCCCCTTTTTTTTTTGAAAGAGAGTGGCTATAGGGGGAGTTTCCACTGATTAATAGGCTGATTATTTCTGAAAATATTCTAAAAGAACTAAGCACATATTTTCAGCTTTTGGTAACTTTTTGCTAAATATTTGTGTCCAATGCCCAGAATTTTGTACCATTTCCTCCCAAGGAAGGAAGAGGAAATGGGGGGTGACCCGGTGGTAGGCGTGGCACTAGCAACTTGACCTCAATTAAGTTAAATTTATCAAGAGGATGGAAGTGGTGAGAAGTCCACTTAAGAGATCTTCCAGTGTGACAAGTGCTGGGAAGTCATGTTTCTGGTTTGGTAGCAACATGCGTTTCACAGAACATCTTTTTTAATGCTTATATTTTCCTCAACTATCTACCTTAGTACTCCCAAAGTTCCATGTGTATTCATGCATAATGAGGTGCACGAATGCCATTTGCTAATACTGGTTTCCTTTTAGTCATTCCTTAACAAGTTTGCTTTGTGCATGTCTCAGGCCTTTGCTAATCACTAGAGGCAACAGAACAGAGACTGCAATGTGGTGCTTTTGTTCCGGCTGAGGAAGATGAGCGGCAGGCCAGGCCACATACCTGAGGCCTCCTCCACAAATTCCACACATAAGGGGCAGGGGGTCCCAAAACATTTAGAAATTAAAATAAATGGTTTATTGATTTTTTTTTGTAGTGCTGGGGATCAAGCCCAAGGCCTTGTGCATGATAAGTAAGCACTCCACCACTGAGCCACACCCCCTGGCCTGAAGCAATATTTTAAGGAACCAAAATCAATGCACAAATCCACAGCAAACAAGACATCAAACTTTAAATGTTGTGTTGGGGAAGTGAAGATGATAAAGAAAGGGAGGGGGAGGCTGTTGGACAGGTGCTCTTTCAGAAGGAGGGAAAACCCAGAGTCACTGGAGGGAGCAGCTAGGCACAAGTCTGGGAAAGACACAACTCACTCCACCCGAGACAGGGAACAGCAAACTGTTTCCCCGGAGGCGGGAGGGGAGGTGGCTGTGTGGCTTGAGGTTAGATAGGGAAAGAAAAGTGGCCAACAGGAACTTAGAATGGTAGCTGGGGTCAATTTACGTAAGGCTTTGTATATTCTTAGAATATTTCCCTAAAACTAAAAATGAAAAGTAATTTTTGTCTTGAATTATCCTAGTAACCACCTAATTTCCACTATACTTTATTTTAACCTTCGTGGAGGAAGCTTAAACCCAGAGCTTGCTGGGCACACAGTCTACCTACCACTGACCCACACCCCCAGTCCTTATTTTAACCTGCTTTGGGACACCCTACCAAGTGTGACTTTAAATGATGACTGTAAATTTTTAAAAACTCCTAATACATAGTTTTATGTTCACTCTTGATTGCTCTGTATGTCATATTTTTCCAGATAAAATGTTGAACTGTGGTTAGGAAGAGCCTATGAGTAGGACTATCAGGAAGCCAAGGCTTTGATGGTTTATAAATCTGAAACAGCGGGGAACTATTGTTAACAGCTTAAAGTATGCAGTGGCTAGTAGCTTGTGAATGGAATGCACACATGTATAAACTGTACAAAACACTTATGTGCTAATAGATAGTTTTTTGAGAATAGGTTTAAAGTTTTCATCAAATTCCAAAATAGGTCTGAGGACTCCGAAAAAGTTAAGAAACACCAATTTGGGGCTGGGGATGTGGCTCCAAGGCAGAGTGCTCTCCTGGCATGTATGAAGATCTAAGTTCGATCCTTAGCACTGCCAAATGAAAAAGAAACACTCGTTTTACTAGAGGCTGGTTTTTCCTCTTTATGGCTTCATTCTTCTCTTCAAATCCACAGCTCAATGGGGACAAAGTTGTCCCCAAGGATCCTTGTAAGGAAATCTTCTTTACTGGTTCCTTCAACAAAAGCAGTGGGAGAGGAAGCAGACAAAAATGGCACCTGGACAATCAAATGGCTCAAATCAGTAAAGTGCACACAGCAGCTGATGTGGCAGCCAGGTCTCAACCCCAAATAGTTACTATTAATGATAACAAGAAGCCACACACAAGTTGTATCTGGGTATAGTGTCACGGAAGCACAAAGTAGCCTGGAGACCAATATTCTAAAAGAGAAAATCAAGGAGGAAGAGGAACCTCCAGATGCCTGAGCTGCCTAAGTGCAGCAGACATTGCATTTTGAGCTTTCTGAGCAGGCATTTCATGGAGGCTGGGGTCATTCTAGGGTTACAGCTTTATGCTGCTAGAAACTGTGCTAGATTTTGACCAAGTCTCTTAGGGTAAGGGTTTGGAGGGAGACCTCATGTGCCAAGGGTTCTGCAGCTCTCACAGTTTTAGGGTCTGCCCAGAGTGGGCTTGTCATCCCTCTCCAAATGAGCCTGTACCTTCTTTTGGTGTAGTGAGAAGATGTATCTGGAGTATATACCAACCAGACTCTTCTAGGCACTGAAGTGCAACAGGAAATAACACAAAGTGCCTCACTCTGCAGGAATTATAGTGTGTGTGATTGCCACTAAGTCATAAACCAATGAGAGGCCAACTGATTTAATTTCTATCACTCACAATAACAGATATCCCAAGCCTATAGACCTTGAAGTTTTCACATTCACATGTTTTTCTGGGCACCTGTTGCCAAGTGGAGACTACTTTCAACATGGTAACTTCCAATCATGAAAGTCTGCTGTATGAGCAGTAGATGGGCTTTCCCCTAATATTTATAATACTTAAAGGAGCCTGAAAGAATCATGGACTTTGCAAGGGATTTGTGTTCTCGTTACAGATAACATGGCATGTCTCTTGGAAACAGCATCGGGATAACAGTGTATTCTTTATAAGAACCAATGTACTGTATAACATATTAATTATGTCTGCTTCTTAACAAATAAAAATTATTTTAACTTGGGCTTCAGGAGGCTGTGGGTGAAATACACGTACCTACTGTATGCAAAGTTTCAGACTGGTACCACATACACTGTGCGCGGGTGGGTGGCAATCTCAGAAAGCCATGGGCCTTAGAAGCGCCTACTCGCCTAGAATCTGCTGTAACATCACAGGGTTTGCCGCGGGTGCTTAGGTCACACATGGCGCTCAACACAAAACAATAAATGTTTTCCGAAATGATAGGTTCACAGAGTGTGCCAGATCTGCAGTCACACAAGTCTAGGGTGGGATGGGGCCAAAGAGCGGTTGGTGCTCCTGACTCATACTCACCCTCGCTGCCCTCCCGGAGCGTGGGCGAGCGATTCCGAGCGTACAGCAGAAACCCAAGGACCCACTGCAAAGAGGAAGAAGGAACGCGTTGGGGCCGGGAGTGGCGGGCGCGCTCCCCAATCTCCAGCGCTGGAAGACACGCCAGCTGCGCTCAGCACCTGGCGACGCTCTCCAGGGCAACCGGCGCTTGGCGACGGCTTCGCCCCCGCCTCACACGTCAGCCACGCCGTGTCCCGCCCCGTTGCGTCGCCGGAAGTGTCGCCATCTTGACGCGCCGGAAGTGGCGGTTGCTTTCGCTCTACCCCTGGGCAGTGGTGGCTTCAAGGTTTGGGGGCTGGTTCTGACGCTGGTTTTAGGATGGGTTGCGACGGGGGAACAATCCCCAAGAGGCATGAACTAGTGAAGGGGCCGAAGAAGGTTGAGAAGGTCAGTAGTGTGGGCCCGTTGGGAACCGAAAGGGAGTGTGGACGCCCCCGGGCGGGGGCCGGGAGGAAGAAGGGGCCAACGGAGTTCTAGACCTGGAACTGCTGCTTACCGTTATCTCCATCTTCAGACATGGAAATTGAGGCTCAAAGCAGAGGGTTGCGGAGGTAGTTAAGTGGCAAAGTCAGGATTTGAACCCTGTCATTCGTAACGGTGATAAAAGTAGCTACTATTTCTTGAGCTCTGTAAACATTAATTTCACTTCCTCAGAGGTCTTCCTAACACCTCCTAACCTCATGAAAACAGATCTTTGTCTTATAAACTATTTTGCCACCCTGCACACTGTCTTCATGGTTAATCCATATCGGTCTCCTCACCAGACAGACGGTAAGCTCCTCATGGAGGAGACTGAACCCCTTTTCCCTCTAGAACTGGCGCAATTTCTGACACAGTAAATATTTTGAATGAATCAGTGAATAATTTCCAGTTCTCACAAGTAATGGAGCAAATTATACATAGTGTTTTTCAAGCTAATGGCAGAGAAATGTGAGTCCAAGGAAGTAAACTTACATGGCCAAGGTCACATAGCTGGCAGGTAGTGAAGATTCCCATCTTTGGGATTACTTGGGATTTCAAAGTTAGCAAGAGTAATGACCTTTTAATAATGTAATGACATGCAAAGCACCTAATACAGTGCCTGATGCATGTGGATACTCGATGTATTCTGATTCAGCGGCATGAAAAATCTTTTAAAAAAGTAAATACCATATGTCACAATTGTATTTGAAACACTCCGGTGATTTCCTGTCACATTCAGACTAAAATTCCATCAAGTCCTGTGGGAACAGATCCCTGGACCTCATCTTTTATCTCAGTCTAGCTCTTTCATTCTGTTCCAGCTACACAAGCCTGTTCCTCCGCCCAGAGAATTTCATCAACATGAAGGGTTCTTCATTGAGATAGTGGTGATAATTTCTTCATTCAGTTTTTTTTTTTTTTTTTTTTTGTACCGGGGATCGAACTCAGGTCCTCGCGCTTGCCCAGCAGGGGGCGAAACCACTAAGCTAAATCCCCGACCCCATCATTCAGTTCTTTACTCAGCAGTCATCTGCTAAACTTCTCTTTAACTTCCAATTGCTCCCGTCTTCCTCTGCTCTTACTTTTCTTTCTTTCTTGTCTCTCCCTCTCACGTCACCCAGGTCCTTTGTATGACTTAGCTCTGTGGCCTGGATAATGTGTCTGCCACGTAATCGACACCCAATAAATACGCGTTGAATTCAAGAATGAATGAACATCCAAGAGGAGGACGTGTGCCCTCTGGTTATACCTACACATGTACAGGCTAAGGGTGGATATTAGCATTCATGGAAGCTTCTGCCAAAAGAAAAAAAAATTCAGCTCACTTTTGTTATCCTGTGTCCAGGGCCGAAAGGCTTGGCAAAAAACATGTTAGAGGGCCGGGGATTTAGCTCAGTGGTTCCGCTGCCTGCCTTGCAAGCACACGGACCCAAGTTCAATCCCTGGTACCAAAAAAAAAAAAAAAAAACCATGTTAGAAGGGGATAGAAAAAAAGAAATGGTGATCTGAAACAACTGAAATGCTCAGACAGGATGGTTTCTGTTAACCTCGCTCAGAAAGAAATACTTATCATGGTGTACACTGCTTTAGACCCTGGGGATAACAGAGGACAGAGCAGTCCGCCTCTCCTAGAGCTTACGTTTCAAATTCATATTGTGAGTAAGAAGCATTCGTTTATTACACATAAGAAAACTATGCCTGTGTCTCTGTGTCTTCTTCCTGAATCCCTTGGGATTTCCTGGGTGAGAGGATAGTCACTGTTCTAAAGAGGTAACTGATGGGGTCCTAACTGGGGCTGCTCACCAGAAAGACCAGGCCATGATGAGAAGCTTGTGATTCTCAGCACCACCACCCATGCTCCAGGAATGAAGAGAAACTGGAGACTGAGTTAATAATTGTGCCTTCGTGCTGAAGCCTTCATAAGGGCCCTGAGCCGTGGGGTTTGGGGATCTTCCAGGTTGCTCCTCACGAGTACGGCTCCTATCGTGAGACCGTTTCAGTCCTCACCCCATATACCCCTACCTGGCTGATCACAGGAATCATTTAAAGCACTTTAGTAGTGAGTCAGCAGTAGCAAGTAAACTGTCTGCTTGTGGTCTGTGAGCCACTCTATCAAATTACCAAACCTGAGGGTGGGCTCATGATGTCTGGGGCAGGAGGATCGCCAGGAGTTCCAGGCCTGCCGGGGCTACGTAGTGAATTTAAGGCCAGCTCGAACCACATTGCAAGACCCTGTCTCAGGAGAAAAAGAAGGGAGGGCAGATATACGAATATGGTGTCTAGAGCCAGCCTGCCTGGGTTCTCATCCTACCTGTTATTTCTTTGTCACATTTATTCGGGTCATGTCACTGAACCTCTTGCTGCTTCAGTTTCCTCATCTCCAGTGGTAAAAATACTAACCCAGAAGGTATTTATGATTGAAAGCGTTAGGCACAAGTCACAGAAACCACTTAGTGCAACTGGTGGCACACAGAAGGCACTAAGTATCTGTCACTGCAAAAAATTAAAAATTCAAGGCTTTTTCTTTTTCTTATTCATCCTTTTCCTTCTTTCTCTCAAATGTGCCACACTTAGAACAGTCAGGTTGGGTACTGTAGAGTGAGAAAGAATGAGACATGAAATACTACACAGTGGGAAAGACACCTGAGCTGTGGAGGGCCTTGTGTCTGGGTTTCCATAGTCTGTGTACTTCAGCACTTTTATGTAGCTGTAACAGAATACTTGAGATTGAATAATTCATAGAGAAATTTATTTCTTACATTTTTGGGGGCTGGAGAGTCCATTGTCAAGGCCCAAATCGAATGAGGGTTTGGGGATGGAAGCCAAGGCTTTCACACTGGGCTACATCCCCAGCCCTTTTTTATTTTTAAATTTTTAAAATTTGTTGTTTTGCACAATTGATGTTTAAACCTAGGGCCGTAGCATTGGGCTACATCCACAGCCCTTTCTTTATATTTTCTTTTCAGATGGAGTCTCACTACGTTACCCAGGCTGGGCTTGAATTTGTAATCCTTCTGCCCCAGCCTCCCAAAGTGTTGGGATCACAGGCATGTGCCACCATGCCTAGTGCTAGCCTTTTTTTATTTTGATACAGGGTCTCAGTAGGTCACTGAGTAGCCCAGGCCAGGTAGGATCTTGCAGTCCTCCTGCCTCAGCCCTCCAGAGTGCTAGGATCGTGGGCATGTGACACCACGCTTGGCTAGGGGGCAGGCCTTCTTGCTGCAGACTAAGAGGTGGCATGGGCCATCACCTGGTAAGAGGTCTGCACATAAGGAAGCCAAGCCAGCCCTTGGTACAGACCCGCTCTGAGATAAGCGACTAAGCATTATTATCTCATTTATCTGAGTGGATTAAATCCACCTGTGAGGGTGGTGGCCTCATGTCTTTGAAAGGTCCCACCTGGTTCCACTGCTCTCACCAGGGATTTCAGCGTGAACTGGGGACACTCAAGCCACAGCAGTGGGTAAGGGTTTGCTGCGCCCTCGGAGAAACAGCAAAACACTGGCTGCTGCTGGGGTGAATTGGAGATTCTGTAAAGAATTACATAGCCTTGTTCTGCATTTTAAAAAACAGTCTTTTCAATTCTCAGTCTTTAAATTCTGCCATGACGTTGGACCCTTTCCCGGTATTAGAAGTTAATCTGCACTGCTTTGTTTTGGTATGGCCTCCCCAGTCTACTGTTAATATTTGTACACAGCCCACATAAATGGTTCAGTGATGTGATATAAACTTTTTGTATTGTCTTTAGATGGACCTTTGACATAGTATTAATTACTTACGACTTTTACATTTCCAACTTCCTGTGACACTATCGTTGATTTAAAAAATAAAAACATCACTGGTAGGTATTTTAAATAAACTTTGATATGCAGAACTGTAAACCATGTGTCTTTCAGAGGTAAAATTAATTGAAAGAATTTTTTGTTTTCTTTTATTAGGTTGACAAAGATGCTGAATTAGTGGCCCAGTGGAACTATTGTACTCTTAAGTCAGGAAATACTAAGATGACCAATAGTTGCCTGTGAACTTGGCAGGTATGGTTCCTTACTTAACCAAGACAAGTTTATTCAGTGACTTTGAAGAAAATTTAAATGTGTAAATACAGTTCTTGAGTCATCAGGTAGGAATTATTTCAGGCAAATCCGTGAGGCATAGGTTAGTATTCCTTGTCTGTGGACATCATTCTTTGTCCTAATCCATTTGGTTTATTTAATCTGTGGTTAGAAAACCCAAGGGCCACAGGGAGGACAGGGGAAGGGAAGGGGAAGTGAAAAGATGAAGCCGTGTGTGTGCCAGAACCCGAGGTGTGTAGATTTATTATGTATCACAGATAAGCTAAATTGATGTTTTTTTTAAAAAAGAAAACTCAAGGGCCAAGTTAGAAACCTAAACCATGGAGGGGCCCATAGCAATCTGGGAGAGATGGGGGAGTGAGGCAGCCAGAGAGCTCAGGTCTGGCCACTTCTTGCAGTTCAAGGAGCGTGGGCCTTGTGATTCTAAATCTTGTGATTTTTTATTTTTGAAGAAAAGTTTGTGGGACTGCAGAACCTTGTAATCTTAGAATTCTTGTAGCCCTGACTGCAATTAAATGTGAGCTAATGATTAAGAAGCTTGTTAGTTGTGGGAAGCTAGATAAAATTTGTAACAGACATAGAGTTTTAAAGGTAAATCACTCAACTCCTTGTTTGCCCGGAGAACGGACATTCCCGGACTTACTATCTGTAGGACAATCCATCAATGTGTCTGCTGACCATCAGTACGTGACAGTCATGACCATTAGTGTGTGTGTGTCTGCCGACCATCAGTACGTGACAGTAGTGACCATTACTGTGTGTGTGCCAACCATCAGTACGTGACAGTCTTGACCATTAGTGTGTGTGTGTGCCGACCATCAGTACGTGACAGTCGACCACTAACCCTTGTTTCTTTTCTCTTAAATCTACATGTTAACCTCCCCCTCAACCCCCTATAAAAACAGCCCCGGACTCTGAGCCAGTTGCCTCTCTAAGCTACTTTGCTTTGGGAGTGCCGTCTGGCCAGACTAATAAAGGTCTGTTTTACTTTCCAACTTGTCCGGTATGTTCCCTCCCGGGTGTTCTTCGCTGCAGTCAGCTCCCCAGAGTGTTTGGTAAGGCCCATGGTCTTACATTTTGGAGGCACCGCTGGGATCCCTGGGTGTGCTTCACTGCAATCAGCTCCTTGGAGTATTTGGTAAGGCCCACGGTCTTACAAGTTGAAAATAGGAACTTTTACAGTAAATTTCCCATTTTTAAAAATCTTTGTTCTGGTTGCATCAGCCCTTACACTGCCGTTTTGCCGCTCTTGGTTTAAACGAGTTTCTTTGTGTGCCTTGGCAGTGGTCAGACAGGGTGAAGTGTGTCTTTTAGTGGAGGACATTGCATGTGTCAGCTGCAAATGAGTTCTGAGTGGTGCTTGAGCTGCTGCTTTGTCATTTGGAAGTGGATTGTGGCCACTGTAATGTGATCGATCCTCATTCTTGCAGACTTTTAGAACAAAGATGCTGTCATCGAGTTTCTGTTGGACAAATCTGCTGAAAAAGCCCTGGGGAAGGCAGCATCTCACATCAAAAGCATGAAGGTAAGATGGGACTCTGGACTGCTCTGGGGTCTCAGTAGGTGAAGGTCATTTTATAGAATTCATGTACATCAAAGACTAAATTCAGAGCCAGGCATGGTGGCACACCTGTGATCCCAGCACTCAGGAGGCTGAGGCTGAGGCTTACTAGGATCGCTGCAAGTTCAAGGCCAGGCTGGGCTACATAGTGAGACCTTGCCTCAAAAAATAAAGAAAACAAACAAACAAGGACCAGGGATGTGGCTCAGTGGCGTAGTGTGTGCCTGGCAATTACAAGGTCCAGAGTTTGATTCCTGGTACCAAAAAAAGAAAAAAAAAATAGTGAATCTTACTATGAACTCTAATTCTATCTGGGCTCGGCATAGGCCTATAGTTCCAGTCACGTGGGAGGCTGAGGCAGGAGGCTCCCTTGAGCCCACAAATTTAAGACCAGCCTGGGCAACATAGATCCTGTCTCAAAATCAAATGACACCCCCCTAAAAAAGAACCACTAATTCTATAAAAATACACCCTAAATGTAAAATTCAAGTAGCTTAAGTTATTTGGGTTTGGTTGGTTTTGGGTTTTTTTGTGTATGTGCTAGGGATCAAGCCCAGGAGCCTATCCGTGGTAGGCAAGCATGCCTACTTCTGCTGTTAGGAAGTTCTTATTAGCAGTTAAAATTGTTTCATAAAACTGGAAAAACATCTTAGTAAAGGAAGTTTGTTGAGAAGACAGAATGTTTTCAATCTAGTTAATGGGAACAAAATGAAAATGATAATGAAGAATTTAAGAGTCATTGGGCTTTTGAAGCCTTCGTCTCACCATAAGGAACTCTCTTGAGGACACGTGGCCAGTGAAGGCTTAACCAGAACCAGATCCTCAGCTCCCAGCTAAAGCTTTAGAGTTCTTTGCTTTTCCTTTCTTTTTTTTTATTATATTAGGCTTTTGGTCCGAGTTCTTTGGGTGACTACAGGATAGGCTCCTTTCAGGCAAGGTAATTCTGAAACACATCTTTTGGCAGTGCTGTAGAAATTGCCATTCTGGTTTCAGTTATCTTTTACTTTGGGAAGAGAATTTGTTACTGAAAAACACACGGCAACATGAATTATCTTGCCTCAAAAATTCAATTATCATTGAAATTAATTCATACAATTCTGAATGCAAAACACTATAGTTTTGTAGAGTTGATCCTTTAATACGCACACACACAGACACACACACACACCCCTCTCCAAAAAATTAGAGCAGTAGAGAAAAAGAATTCAGAGGAAGCAGTGGGGCTGTAGGAGATTGTCACCACTGTCCCCAGATGCGCCCGAGAGCAGGGAGCAGGCAGTGAGGGGGGCCGCCCTCCAGCTGTCCTCCGGAGTATGGAGATGGAAACGGTCTCAACGGGAAGACGCCCCTCTCTGTGCTGACATAGAGCTGCTGAATCAGACTCCTTGAAAAGTTGAATTTTTGAAAATCTGGACATTTGTGTCTCAAAATGTAACAGGGTTTTCTGGCCAATGATCTTGTTTAGATTCATTATGCTATGGCCCCACAGATTATCCCACCTGTGCAATTCTGTCAACATGGATAGCAGAAGGGAGCAGCCCCAGTGAGGCACCATCAGCGGGACCGAAAGAGCTCTTTTCTGAGTGGAACTAAGCGTCCTCACAGTGTTGGGCTGGTTTGTTTTCAGTAGTGCTGGATCAAACCCAGGCCCCACACTTGCTAGACCAGCGCTCTACCCCCGAGCTGCGTCCTAGCCCTGTGCAGTGCTCGCTGAGGAGATGGTGCTTTTCCTTCAATAACAAAATGTGTATAAAATAGATAACTTAGTTGACGGATGGTGTCTGGCTTATGATGGTTCAACTTAAAAAGTGTTTGATGTTGTGCTGGTACCAAAGTGATTCACATTCGGTAGGACTCATACTTCTGCTTGGATTTTGACCCTTTCCTGCCGCTAGAGGTTCAGGGTGGTGGCATCAGTGGCATCAAGCCACAGCCCCTGGCCAGTCCCGTGGCCCCAGAGCCCAGCAGCCAGTGCTTTCCCTGGCACCGTGTACCTGAGCCGAGACACTCAGGGCTTAGGTGTCACCTGCATTTCACCCTGCCATAGGCCTGATTGGAGCATCTGTACTTGCTAGTCAGTGAATTTTAAAAAAATTTTCTACACAATTTGTGGTTTAATTTTATACTCGCATTTCTTGATGGCCAAGGCCAAGTGCTTAAGAAAAAATAGTTCAGCTGGGAAGGGAATAAAAACCCAATTTCTCTTTTGATTTGGGTGGTTATTGAGGCAAAGAATGATCAATTTGCCGAATGAGTTCTTCAAACATGAATGGTTTTTCAGAGTGTGACAGAACTGAAGCTTTCGGGTAACCCTGCCTGGGAAGGAGACCAAGGAAACAAGAAAGGTGACAAGCACAATGACCTGCAGCGGGCGCGCTTCATCTGCCCGGTTGTGGGCCTGGAGATGAATGGGTGGCACAGGTTGGTAGTGATGTGGGGCAGGTGGGGCGATGCTGGTCTTGTCCAGGTTCTGTCTGTGTCCTGGGCTGTGCCAGGAGGAAATCCTTCCGCAGATGCCGCCTGGGCTCTGCCTGCCTCGTCTGCCCAGTGTGCTGGCTGTGGCTCTCTGTTCTTCTGTTAGAAAACTAAAGTAAAGTGGGCTTTCAGAAGTCCTCATGTGACACTTACAGGACCTGAGTGTGATTATTTAATCATTTTGTCCTCAGGGACAGAAAGCAAAAGGGCACATGTTTCCTGTGAAACAGCCCCCGTCCCTTGGGATTGTTAAAATCTGTGCAGTGGCCAATGGTGTTCGGTGCACGGCTGATCCATCTGCTCCAGTCCCAGTGGGGACTGTCGCTTGCTTTGAGCTTGTAGCTAATACATCCTCTGAGTAGAACATCGGAAATCTTAGGGTCGAGATTGATTAGAGCAAATGTCAGTGACCTGTACATTTGCCTCTTTAAGGAATAAGCTGGGAGTAGTGGTGCACACCTGTAATCCCAGTGCACCAGAGGCTGAGGCAGGAGGATCCCCACCCGTTCCTGGCCAGCCTGGATGTTATAGCAAGACTCTCTCACAAAAAATGAAGTAAAATAAACAGAAATGCCGAATGAGGTACTAGGTGCCTTCTTATAAGGTGCAAACCTTTTCCCCACCCTTTAGAAATGCTTTCAACAGCAGGTGGGCCAGGCAGCCCTCTGAAATCTTGTGTCTAACACATGCCATAAGGAAAGATGGCATTTTTACCATTTTGTTCAGGAGAAAGGAAAGCATCTCGGGCAGGAGAGACATTGCACTGAGCTCTCAGCAGCCCTATTTAGTTGCCAGCACACTTGTGCACACCCATGTAACAGATGGTGCAGTGGCAGCTTCTCGGCCGTATGCTGAGCTTGGCGGACTGCGCCAGACTCTGCCAGACTCTGCGGGCTCTAAACGGGCGCCTGCATGCTCCTGGATCCGGAGAGAAGCAGAATGAGGCCTGGAGACCTTTTGCTCTGGAAGATTTTCCTCTTCTTCACATAATTTGAATGAAACCATTTAAGGCTCCAGACTTTGTATAGATTGGCACATTTTGGTGCCAAGAGCATAATAAATATTCCTAGCCCCAGACTATTATGTGCCTCCCTTTTGAGGGCCCACACTCTTACTTCTTTGCATGTACTTTAAAATTCTGCCTAAGAAATCCTTTTATGTCTTTAAAAAAATGAAGCATTTATGGTTCACTCTTTGCCCTCGCATTTAGGTCAAGCAGAAAATATTGTGGCTTCCAGGCTCATTCACCTAACCTTGTCCCACCACTTTTTGTATTTTACTTAGGTATCTGTATGTGTATGTCTTGAAGTTACCATCACATGACATAAAACTGACCGTTTCAAAGTGTTCACCCGATGGTGTTTAATACGTTCACACTGTTAGGCAGTCCCCATGCCTGTCTAGTTCCAAAACCGCATTCATCGTCCTCAAAGCCCCATCCCCAGCAGCCCCCCTGCCCCCTCCTGCCCCTGGCAGCTACCAGTCTGCTGTGTGTCTCAGGGGTTCAGCAGTCTGGATACTAGAGCAGACACAGGATTATGCAGCGTGTGACTGGTCAGGTCTGCTTTCCCGCTTCTTGTTAAGAAAATGGTGGTTCACCCCACAAGAGGAACTGGCAGGAAGCGAGCCAGGACAGGTCCCAAGCAGGTGTTACCTGTGCTCCAGTTGTGGTGTCCCCGGTTCTGTACTCTTCTTCGGCTGCCTGATCTCCTTTTTCTCTTCCCAGTTACTTGAACTCTGCCTGCTTTGGTTTTTTCCTGATTAATAGAGGCTCAGCACTGGAAAAGTTTGGATAATAAAGATTTAAATATACAGAAAAATAGAAATAAATTTCTAGTGTAATAAAAATATTGGGTCTTTGTTTAAAGAAAAATAATTTACCAATTTACTAATAATTAGCATCCATAAAATAGGATTTTTTTGGGGGGGGTCTTAAACAACATTTAATGAATTTAAATTGGTTTTAGTTAGATTTTTATTAGGATGACCTGCCTGCTATAATCTGTGGGAAATAGAGAGCGATTATGGGGTGGTATTTTAAAGGGTTATACATAGTATGCCAGTGGTTTCCGCTGCCCCGGCCCCATCCGGTAGGAGCGTCACACGCTGTCTGCAGTCCAGTGTCCGCCCTTCACGTCACGCACACCTCCTACGTTTGTCCGCCTCTGCAAGCAGACCCGCAGGCAGACTGTTCTTCCAAACAGTCGTGGGTCCCATTACATATTTTTATCTCCTCTTCCTGCATTTTATATCTAATTTGAACATGTCTTCATGGCCTTGCATGCTGATTGCCTTCTTTCCCTGGTAGTAAGGATTCAGTCCAGGGCCTTCGCACTGACCTGCATCCCTTCTTTTGGGGCAGAGTTGTGCTGCGTCACCCAGGCTGGGCTCGAGCTCAGGACCCCTTCCCTGAGTACTGGGACTGGGCATTGCCGCCACATCAGGCATGTGCCTTCTGGTAGCTGTGTGGGTTTTGTAGTATTTAACCC